CGCCGATTGGCGCACAAACTGCCGCTCACTTACGACTTCATCCGCGAACGGATCCTCTTATTGCTGAAACTGTACGACAAAATCGATGCGTCAAAGTTGTCGCTCGACTCCCACTTCTATAAGGACTTGGGATTGGATTCGTTAGATCACGTGGAGGTGATTATGGCCATTGAGGACGAGTTCCACTTCGAGATACCCGACTCGGACGCCGAGAAACTGCTCACTCCTCGCGATCTATTGAAGTATATCTCCGATAAGGAGGAGGCGTACGAAGGCCTGCAGACCGACGATCACGATCACCATTAGGTCCCGTTAGAAGAGTTTTATTGATATATACAAAGACACCACTCGTTTAGTCGTAATGATAGTAATAATGACCACTACTTTGTTTGCCGTTTTATTTGGTCAGAAGAAAGGGAAAACAGTCATACAATTTAGACATTCATTTAATTAATTGATTATATTTTTTGGTTTTTATGTTAATTACATCTAAAATAGTAAATACAATACAAAACTGTTTATTATATTTAAATTGAATGCAAAATAATTTCCGTTTAATTTCCTGAAACTTTGCGTTAATTTAATTAAATTTTAAATAATTATATAAAAAATAAATAAAACTTAATAATAATAAAGTTTGTATTCAATATATTTGTTGGACTTTTAATAAAATGCCGATTAAATAGTAATTAGTTTTAAAGTCATTAATCAATTAAATTAAAACTAAATTTTATATCAGTTTTAAAAGCATTCAAAATGTGATCAATAGTTTTTCACTCGACGTTCATATATAACGTGACGATATTTCACACATTTAAGCCCCACTTATCAGACAAAGCGCTTGAATAGCATAGAAATGATTGGCAATAAAAAGCGCTAAAAATAGTGTTTCAAACATATATGTTGTAATCGCTTTATAATTACCAAAACAGTATTGTTTAACTCAATACAAACACAACTGATCACGTTTGGCACTCATGGCTGATAAGATTATCTGCTATAATAAACCTATGGTTACTTTAGTTCATTGATCCAATCGAGAGAGTAATCTCGAGTGCATTACATAATAGCAAACATCTCTCCCAACGCCTCAAACCTACAGACGTTTTATATGAAGAGTTGTCTCATATATTGCGGACGTAATTGATGTGACATTTAGTGTGAGATTTGAATATTGAACTCATCTTTAAATACAAGACATTCAATGAGTGGTAATATTGAAGACATTATTGGAGACAATCGTTGACAACGGATCCGATGGCAGAGCTGTGCGACTGGCGTCTCATCGAAATGGCCGACGATGTCGATTGGGATCAACTGTACGACCGGTTCAACGATCGTCCCGAAGAGTTGGAGGCAATGGTCGAAAGCAAAGTGGAGGAAGTGATCCAACGGGTGGTTCACGAGATCAAAGACATCGCCGCCACGAATGACGAGTTCGACGCTCTCGTCAGACAACGCGACGAGACTAACAAACAGCACAAGTATGTCATGAGTCATGAAGGGATCAGCTCTCATAAGCCACCCATTGATAGCACACATGTCTTAAACGATAATTTGTGGTCTTTTTTCTATAGGACAACGACTATCACCGAAACCATCTATTATGACGACAAGTATACCTATTATTCGGATCCAATTCAACGGGTTATAGACATCGACGAACTGAAACAACGGATGAATAAAGCGGTGGCCATCAGTCAACCGGCGAATGAGACAACGGATCAATTGGCTGCCAAAACACCGGACGCCACTGCAGACAAGTCAACGGATCAATTAGTCGAGAAGACTATAGACAAGTCGGCGGACATGACTGCCGTTGACACGAGCGCTAAGCCCGAAGAAAACGAGTCTAAAGCGTCCGAAGAGACCCAAACCGATGACAACATTGAAATCATGGAGTTGTCGGTCATATATGAGGGCACATCCGCTCCCAAGCGTAACACGAAGAGCGGCATCAAGAGATTCATTCGCTCGTGAGTCCCATCTATACGTCAATTATGTTTTACAGACAACTCATTTTGTACTCAATTATGTTTTTGCAGACAAATATGTAATGAGAACCGTGTGTTCGCCGCCTCTAACGGTATACTGACCTACGCCTGGAAGCCGGCGAAAGTGACCAAAGTATTAAACATGTGGAACATGTCTGTGGTCTTCGACGACAAGTCCGTTATCGGCGGCAATATGTTGTCCAATAAACTGATCGCGTATTCAATGCAATCCGATTGTGGTCTAGAGATCGGGGAGCGAGTCGTTGGTAAGCATTTCATACCTCACAGTGTTTTCAATTGATTATAATTTATTAATTATATAATGTGTTTGATATGTGAAGCGTATCTACAAGAAGGCAATTACAGCCGCGAACTGTATTCGGGAATCGTTGCGGAACCGGCGAAGAACACAAACAATTTCCGATATCTCATATTCTTCGACAAACACGCGTACAGTTACGTCAAACGGGAGGATATTTACTACATTTATGACAAATCTAATGGTATTATTAAATATTACATTTTGATATACAATATCTTTACCCACATTTCACGTGCAATATGTTTGATGCTTACAATTTGTTCTATGATTTAGTTGACGCCATTTTTGCCGAGAAAGACAAAGAGGATTACATTGAAATCAAAGAGTTCGCCGATTTCTTGATGGCTTATATTCGCAATTATCCCGAGAGACCAATGGTTCGGCTCCAGAGGGGCGACGACCGCATTAAAGTTCGCTTTGATAGGCGATGGTTAGCATCGATTGTCTCATAGAATTGGCATTCATTTACTAATTAATGATTTTTGACTGTAATTATAGGGAAAGCGGAAGAGTTTTGGAGATTGACTCGAGTCTAGCGCTCATCGAGTTTTACAAATTGCCAAAACCTCACTCGGAATGGATATATAGAGGCTCTCGAAGACTATATGATATCTACAAAGAGTGTCAAACGTCGACATCCAATGTCAGACATCACGGCAGGTCTACCACAAGAGTCACCCGACGGTCCGATAACCGGCCGCACGTCGAGTGGGATAACGACGAGGAGAAAGAGAACGAAGAGTCAGAACAGCCGACGGCCGAAGACATTGACGACGATATTATTGTTGTGCCAAAAGAAGAGGCGAATCGTAAACGAAAATTCAAACAAACGGCCAGAAAATCGACGGCCAAACCCTCGGGAAGCGTGTCCTCCGCGTGCGATCCTATGAGACTCATAGACAACGAACTGTTCACTCCATCGGAAGTATCTGTGGAACAGTTCCCAGACGTGACTCGAGTTATACCGAGACAATATGCTCAACACATGTGTTCAGCCGATTGTGTTAATGGTATTATTTATTTGGTTTTTATCACTAATTATGTCACGTATTGTAAATGTATTTGCATTACAGCGGAGATCGAAACCGAAGACTTTTACGATAAAAATCCGTTTCATATCCCGATTATTGTCGGCTACCGGAGAGAGATTGTGCGGACCAACGAGAAGAAGACTCGTATCTATTACTGCGCTCCGTGTGGGCGACGACTCAGAAGTATTCACGAAGTGTTCAATTACTTATTGATTACGCATTCAATACTCGACATCGATTTGTTCACATTCTCGACCACTTTCGCGCTGTTCCGCAAATCGAGTCCTCTAAGAGCGCTGTTCCACATCCCAGACCTCACCAATGGTTTAGAGCGACAGCCCATCTCTTGTGTCAATACTGTCGACCAAACAGACTTAGGCAATGTTGTCTACAGTGCAGTCCGCTTCCCTCATCCCGACGTCAACTTCAAAATAGATCCCCAATTCCTGTCCTGTTGTGACTGCGAAGACAATTGTCTCAATAGTAACACGTGTTCGTGTCAACAGTTGACACTCGAGGCCAGCGATACCGTCAGAATGGTATGTCTCTCTCTCTCTCACTCACTCACTCTCTCTCTCTCGCACGCAATTACTCGCAGATTTTGTTTTATTTTTAATTTTTTTCATTTATAGTCAAAATATCAATATTTTGGTTACGAATACAAACGTCTCGACGAATTTGTAATGACCGGCGTTTTTGAATGCAACCAAAACTGTCGCTGTAATCAGCGCTGTCCTAATCGAGTCGTACAGTTAGGCATTAAATGTCGTTTACAACTGTTCAAGACATTGAAGAAGGGATGGGGTGTACGAGTGCTGCACGACGTGCCCCGAGGTTTGTGCGCTGAACAGATCCGATCGTCACATTAAATTTGATAACTTACATAACATTTGTGACTATAATTGCGGCCATTTTAGGGACATTCCTGTGTATATACGCGGCACAGATACTGAACGAAGAGGCGGCCGACAAAGAGGGCCGCGATTTTGGCGACGAGTATTTGGCAGATTTGGATTACATCGACGTCTGTGAGGGACAGAAAGAGGGCTATGAAAGCGACGCTGAGATGAGTGACGAGGAGACGACACAAGACTCCGATTACGACGACGACGATGACGACGAAGACGACAAGGATTTCAAGTGTACTAACCCTTCGACCAGTGAAGTGATGACTCGGGGCAGGAGTACGACGTCCGGCGGTATAACCATTGAATTGACTGTGAATTTTGCTGCGAATGTTATGTTAATGTGTTTTTGTTTTGCGATCGACTGTTTAGGGCGCCGACAAAAGGACGAGAAATCCAAGAATCGGTACTCAATTAGGAAAGACTTTTTTAACGAAGATTTTTGTTATACACTCGACGCTAAGCGGAGGGGAAATATTGGCCGATATCTGAACCATTCGTGTGAACCAAACTGTTTCGTACAAAATGTTTTTGTCGATTCACACGATTTGAGGTTTCCGTGGGTCTCATTCTTTGCCAAAAAGTTTGTTTCTAATACACAATTGTTTTGTGGTATAAATGGTGTTTAATATATGTAATATCTATTCAGAGATATATTGGCGTACGAAGAGCTGACCTGGGATTACAACTACCAGATCGGGTCGATTCCCGGTCGCAAAATGTACTGCTATTGCGGAGCCCATCGATGTAAAAAACGTCTGCTTTAACGCACACATGATTTTGGCTTTCATTTTAGTTTTAGAATATTTTATTTAAAGTAATTATTTAATTATTTGTATATAAATTGACAATTTATATAAGAATCTTAACGACATTCACATTGAATACATCTGTAATACACTTTATTTACTGATGTGTTACCAAAAAAATAAAAACTTAAAAGTTTGAAAAACTTATTTTTTAGGTCTACGGTTGACTTGAAAGTAGAGGTTTGACAAAAGGGTTGTCCAGTGTTTGGGTTGGAGTTAAGGAATAATTCTCAACAATACATACATGTATTCGCAAAGAATTTAAAGTATCAAACGATCGCCGCTTTGAGTAAATAAATAATAAGTATTAATATGTGATACAAACAAGTGGTTAAAAGAAAATTTAAGTCACAAAAAAAGTTTTTTACTTTCAATTGACGAAATCCATAGACGAAAACATTTGTTAGCAAACATTTGCGAACAAACAAAAAAAGGTAAAATAGCGGACATTATATATACTACGGGCCGTCTATGGCATACATGTGTAGAAATGCCACCAAAACGTAAGCTAACAGTCGATCCTAATAATGATAATTTATCGCAAGACTAATATTGACACTACTATTTAGCGGCTCTATTGGCGTATTCATGAGCGATGGTAGCAGTGGTCGAACCGATCGCTATTAACACTACAAACTATTAGCCAAAAAACATGGTTTGTTTATCATTGTGTAAGAATCACACAATAATTCTCTTTAAATAATAAGAAAAATATGGTATAAAAGAGTCGATTGAATGAGAGAGTGGAGGAGAAAGGGGCCAAAAATCGAGATAATAATAATAACCAGTGATTTGACAAATAATATGTGACCAAAAAAATAGACAAATGTTAAACATGTTTCACATGGCTTTGTATGTGTCTGTGAGTGCGAGAGAGAGAGAGAGAGAGAGAGAATTAAAGAATTATGAGATTATAATATTTCTTTTATGATTGTGTTAACAGTTATGCAAATGTCATGGTTTTAATGCTATAGTTCTCATGTGTATTGTATACTAAATTGAGAGAGAGAGAGAGAGAGAGAGAGAGAGAGAGAGAGGAACGGGAGGAGAATGGGAAGAGTGTTATAACATTGTGTTTAGGGTAAGGGATACGTGAGCGGGCATTTAAGCAGAAAAGTTAAGTCTAAACTAAATAAACAGCATTCAAATTATGACCAAAGCATTCAATTTTGTAGCAAAGAATACAATATTCATATCGACTGCATGTGTGGTATTTCTCTTCCACTGTATATATCAAAGAATACATCAAAACTTTTTTTTATAAAAACGTTTTCCGTATGAATATAGCATAGAATCACAGTTTCGTATGAATTATATATAAAACTTGAAATTAATTTCAGTCTCAAAGTGCTTGCGTTTCTCTCAATGAAAATCTACACATATATTAACGCAAAAATGTATTTTTGTTATGAAATACCTGTTGAAACCAATGCATAGCTCTAACATTGAAACTCAATTTATGTTTTCATTATATGTATTGTTGTAATAAAAAAATTGTGTTGAATTTTATTAATTAACAATTTTACAGAGAATTTTGTTTTTGTAACAAAAAAGTAGATTAATTTTGAATAGTTTTGATAAATTTTATGGCAAAAAATTAGTCGAAAATGTCTGTGAATTATATTTTGTTATTTAATAATATTTTGAATTATTAATAATCGTAACAAAAATACAACATTTTTACCCAAAAACGCAAAATTTATTTAATACATGCTTTGATCTCATTTATGGTTATCTATAAATTAATCGTAAAATTATTTTATTAATATTTATCCACAAAAAAAATATATCTATAGGAGAATAATATGAATATATAATAAATGTCTATATTTATATAATCACAGCATTTGATAAGTAATATAATTTAATTTCCTAATAACATGTCTCGTAAAATCAAATTTAATGACAACAGACATATCAAACATCGGATAACAAGATTAACGAGAAGTGCTAAACAATCAAGTCTTGCGTTTAAAACACAAATCGCAGTCTTAAACAAGAAAAACACATAAAATAAGATTTAATACAAGACACACACATAAAATGCAGTCTCGAGTTTTTGACTGCAAAACAATTTTAGCCACACTTTTGTATAATTGAAAAAAAGTCAAATCACAGAAACGGTAACTTATGTTATGTTTTTTTCGGTGATATATTAAATGCCGTGAATATGTATGAGTGGAAAGGTATAGAGTAGTCGGTGGTTGTATACATCCATATATATGGTGTGACCACAAGTGTTAATATCGATTTTCATGCATATTTGCGAATTCATGCCAACCCAGCGCTACAATCGACCACACAGTGAGGGGTATAAGTAATGTCTGTGTGGCCGCTCTGTGCCGCTCGTACACCACCGGTGCAGGTATTTCGATATGGAGTGTACTGTATATCCCATACACATAACGCTTGGTATTTCCTACGGGCACTGTTCAGAGAGGGTATATATACTGTGAATAAGTTAATCATATTAGACGTTGGAGTTCACGGACGATCATCTCCTAAAGTTGAGCCCATCTGCTGGTCAGTTATGTTGAGGTAACGAAGAGAGAGAGAGAGAGAGAGAGAGAGAGAGAGAGAGAGAGCACTGGTAGACAACTGTTGATGATAGACCTCCCGCTGACCTCAAGAGACCCGATAATTGCCTTTCGCTGTGAAATAGATTTTTATGCAATTCATACAAAAGGACTCACTTTTTACAGCGAAAACATTTCCTCGAAATTTTCAACACAAGAAATCATTAGATTTGGTGTTATTTTTGGGTGAAAAACACTATGTGTTGCCGAAAATAATCAATTTTTAACACAATAAATGATATCAATTGCAATTTTAATGTTCATTTTGCACAAGTAATTACATTTTTCGGCACTCAATTTACTGTCCATTTCATTATCTTCCGACCCTTTCCTCACTCACTGGCAATCCCTTGGGTTTTGTCTTTTCAATAGAAATTTTCAAAACATCTTTTAGTTAATCGTCTCTAATGTGTGGGAAAAGAATTCGTTTAACTCTTTATTTTAATTTAGTTTTTCATTTCTAATTAGTTTAACAAATAGTTATTTTGCAAACAAATTGCAAAATGTTTAAATGCATTGTTTAATCAATTATAATATTTAGTGTTTGTATTAGAAGTTTATTTATTTATAATATATTTATGTTAATTATCTGATTATTTAAATATAATTTTTATTAAATTATTTTGCGTGCATTTCATGGCATAAAACTTAAGTATCAAAAAATAGTTTGATTGCAATTTAAAGTAAACAGAGGACACAAACTGCAGGAAACCTCCAAAACATCCGACAAAATGATTTCATAGTTTCTTAAAAAGTTATCCATAATATGTTTGAAACAGAATTTTGATAGAAAATAACATTTTTCAAGAATGTAAACTACAAAACAATTAATAATAATAAAAGTCAAAAGCAGTGAGAGATAAATATTATGAAAAAGACGGAACTGTGTATAGAGTGGTGGAAATGTTGAACAGAAAGTATTTCTTTTATTAAACACTTATATATTTATAATAATTTATTAATTGAATAGTAGTCTTGAGAAAAGACTGAAGACTGCGGGGAAAGAGACGATCAGTGGTTTGCGATAGCGTTTGAATTGACGATTGAAAGTGTATTCATAGGAATGGATCGCATAAATCATTTGGTATTAATTATTGAGGACAATGAGTGACAAACACAGACCGCCGGCGATTAAGTCTACATAATCTTCATTAGTCTACTTGAAGGGCAATTGAAGTCCCTTTGGAGAGACGGGTCTATAGTATAGGCAATGGGAGGCTATTAGAGCCGACAATACATATACACCAGCCGTACATCGATATGCGTTTTGTCTTGTGATTCGTAACCGAGAAATATATATTAAAATAACGATTTAAGACATAAAATACATAAGAAATGCAACACTTATTTTAGAAGAGCTAATGTTTGTGTGAATATTATTAGCGAATAAGTAATAAGAAAAATGATCATCAATTAAGATTTGCAGCACTTATAGCGATACCACCGGACAGTTAGTCTATGCGGTCGACCCCAACACCAACTAAATATACTATTTATATACTTGTACTACAGAATCGTATATAATATAAACTTTTTTCCTTACATTAGACGTATGATTGCTGTGAGAAATTGCATTTGCTTTCAGTGCACTAGTTATACATACAATACTCTGTGTGTATATATATTTATAAGCGTTTTGTTGAGTATATATGAGTAGAGGAATCATAAATTCAGGACATTATTATACACACCATTGCATGACATTAAGTGATGTGCCCTTAACTTGTGTGGCGTATCGTTGTGTGAGCGCCTGTACCCCACCTCCAGGCCCTGCAAAGCCAGCCTCGATTCGTGCCCAACAATAATGAATGGGAGGCGACCACCAAATGAGTGCTCTCATGTCGGCATCCAATTCACTGCCTCTTCTCTATGCTCTCTATCTCTCTCCGTAAGGCCTGTCCTGTGCTCTCTCTCTCCTCAACACACAAACTATTTGTTTCAGTATTTGTTAAGCGCTTGTATTTGACGGAAAGTGTTTCACTCATTCTTCTTCTTCTTCTTCCTCGTCATATCCATCGCATCCCAAAGTGTTGTATAAATACTTCGCTATTAATTAGAAATTTTAGAGTTATCTTGTTTTTCCGTCTGTTTTTTCATTCATAGTATTTGCAGTGGAGAGAGAAGTGCGTCCATAAAGTAATTGAAATAAACTTGTGATTCATTTTGCATTAAATTAAAATTTTTCTCAACTAATTCTTTGACTCTTTGATTATGAATGGATTAAATAGTTTCTCAATACATCCCTATATATAACATATTGTGTCTGTTTATCGTCATAGATGTTAAGACATCGAGCGTAAGATAATAATAATAATAATATATTAGTTTATTATTAATATAATTATAAAGTGTTAAGTTTTAACAACAAAACAAATTATTTGATTGAATTAAAATAACACTGATCTAACATTTTTACAAAATCAGTGTAAATAAACAATTTGTTCGCTTTTCATCAAGTTTGTTTAAATATTGCATTTGTTTTAATAATA